GCTGTGGCCTACCGATATATCAAGTCAGTACTGCCATCCCCCAAACAAATTTAGCACCGGTTCGCCGTTCCCGAAATGTTAGAAGGTTTGTCACTTTTGGGAGCGAAATCGAAAAATCGACTAGTGTGTCGTAGGACACCTCTGACAACTCGTCACACGCGCCTGACTTTTGTGAATAACGAAACTCAATCTATAACAATATTGTCAAAAATTCAACACCCCTTTATAGAAACGTTATATCACATTTTTATATCCAAACATGCTAGTGGCATGCATAACATCAAACTTCAGGAGGAGTTGAATCTGTATTTCACCCATGCCGGGAGTTCGTGCTACCACTACATCAAGCCACCACTCTGCTACCACTATCTCTGCGATATAAGGTATCGAAGCAGTCAACAGGCAACCGTGCATATCACTCAGTATCCTTAGATATAAGCGATTATGACCACACAAACTTTACCGTGAGGGAATTACGCCTAGACCCGATTCATGCATACTTGATTAGGAGGAAACTTGGCTGCTCACCAATGAGCAAAAATTGTCCACTGAAAACCAAGTTAGGATGAGAAAGGATAAAGCTCTCAGCGTCGATCAAGCTCTGAGAGATGCGCTATGCATTTCATCAGACACCGCTAGCCCTTTCGGAACAGTGGAATCACCTCCTCTGCATCTCTAACCTCCCGCGGGGGAATGCGCGGAATACATCATTATTATGGCAAGATGATATATTTCCATATAACATAACCGAGGAAAATTACACAATATTACAACTGAATTAATACGATGATTCATTCAATGCGTCCCACGCGCTAGCGGTCAGAGATGCAGAAAAGATGGGCCCGCGGTTCCCGAAAGGGTTGGAAGGTGATTGAAGTGCAAATCTGGCTCTTACAATTACTCTCGGTGGCTTACCAATGGAAGAATCCGATACTGCTACCTTCCCACACAAGTCGAACACCGTTCACGAAACTCATGGAAGGATGGAAGGCATTACTGAGCTTCAAATGTGGAATTGAATCATTGACCACGTGTGCTTGCAGAATACCACTAACCAACGCGCCATACGCACCTTTTAGTTTGCAATAAGAAAGCAAAATTCGCTAATGGGAAATTAGTTCAGAAGTTTCCATCAAGTTTCGAATGATGCAACCTCGAGAAGGAGTTGAACCCCTTACCCTTTCCTTGTGAATGAATTCATCTTAACTGGGTACTATTGCTCGATATGTTATTTACCAGACCAAACCCGTTAACGATTGATTGCTGAGAGCGTAGTTAACTTGTATCGCAGGAAAGAGCAACAGCAGAACAGGAGCCCCAGAAATGCTGTGGCTAATAAGCGGCTCCCTTGAAGAGTAAGATACAGGTTCAACTCCCATTCGAGCTTCAAATTTCTGCATATCACTTAATCTTATTGGATGTGAAGGATACAATATTTGTATAGCGCTGGTACCCTGCCCATATTATTAAGATACAGTGTAATAATGGAATACCTTGTGACCAAGTTTTAGTAGACACTGCGCCAGGAAATAGATATGCGTCTCAACACCGCCAGTATTTGGACAGAAGAAGTCGGAGACCAATCTAAACGATAAAAAAAACCAAGAATTCTTCAACTGCTCCTAGGGTAATTTACGAATCGACATACTATTCCGCTGTTCTCACCCTTTTTTCAGCCCCTTAACAAAAACCAAGTTCTTTGCTTTATCAAAAGTTCCAGCAACCACTCGATAGCTCAAATCTCGAGAAATTTCGAGGTTGTACTTCACTTTTCTAAAAAAACTCCTCATTACGTTGTAATAGTATAGATAAAGTTTATGTTTCACAACCCGTGCAGTTTTCGAAAGGACAAAGCTCTTCTTCTAAACTTCCTGTAATCAATCGACAGCAAAAATTTCGACGATTCCAATGGTCTACGTGGTCTCTGAAAGGACTTCTCAGTGCGCTGTAGCTGCTAAAGGAAGACTGGAGTCTCGCACTAGCGCGTATTTCTTCTCGGCTAGGATCGCTTGAATGTTCCGAAAGCGCGTTGGCTTGATGCCTAATGCTGGGAATCCTAGCCCACACAGCAGAGCAAAGCTGCGCGCCAAGTGTGAAATTCAATTCAATCTTCAGTGTTACAACGCAACAATAAATTCCTTTACAAAAGCAAATATACCCACTGAGATCGTTAAGATTTGTGCTATCGAAAGATTACTGAAAGATGGAAAAAGATGCTCTGTCGAGCAAAGAATGTTTAGTGTGAAATATAATTTTGTTCCTACTGTCACAAAGCAATAAAAGAACCATTTTGAAAATAACGTACATCAATGAAATTCTTGAGATTTAAGCTGTCGAACGATTACTAGAACTTGGCAAAGAAGCAAATGAAAATGCGCTTTACCAAGGGAGTCAAACTGGGTGAGGATAACGGAAATGGTCCTAAACTAATTGTGATGAAGGATGAAGCTTTCGGTGTTGTTCAATCCCTAAGGGATGCGCCATGCATTCGACTTCAATTTTTAACTTCGTTTGAGGTGATTGAATGCACATCTGGCCTTTACAATGACTCGCGGTGGCCTCCCGCTGAATCGAGTCAGTGCTGCTTATCCTCCCACACAAATCTGAGACCTGTCTGGTACCAATTTACCGACCCCGGAGTGATGGATGGCTTGGTGAGCCATGAGCGCGAGATCGAACCAGTGACCTCGTGTGAGATTGCAGGGCACCTCTAACCACTGCGCCACATGCGCTCATAAACTAATTGTATCTTTCAAAATTGTCAAACTCACGCTATGTTGAATAGCTCCTTGCCGTTGCAGTGAGGAGAATTCGCCATATCAACTTGAAAATACCTATCTCAAAGCTTTGAAATCAGTCGACTAACTGAAGAGTCGAGATCTCTCCAATGTTTTGCTAGAAGTACTAGGTTAATTTCGACGACCGTCTAACTAATACACTCCGCATCAGAACGAATAACTAAGTAAGAATTAAATGAAATTCCTTTCTATTTAACCGCTCTAGCGGTGGCATGATGTTACAAATGTATACCCATTGATGTAGAGTGAGCGTGCAAAACTTTTGCGTCAGGCGGGACTAGAACCCGCACCTCATTCTTTCCAGGAATACGTGCTCTATCCGTTACTACCCGAGCCAGGCCGTTGACGGCTGGCAGCTGACAGATAAATGCGCATGTAGCGTAAAAAGAGCGATGTGCAAAATGGGCGTTAGTTGTGCAACGGATAGAGCACGCATTCCTGGAAAGAATGAGGTGCGGGTTCTAGTCCCGCCTGACGCGAAAGTTTTGGACACCCTCTACATCAATGGGTAAGTAAGAATTAGTTGAAGGGATGAACCCAAAGGCATGTGGCACTCATGAGGCGTGAGAGGAAACACGCGAAACGTACGTAGACCACTAGAGATGCCTTTACGAAACCTCCGAAGGGCTTGAGAATTCTTTCTTTTACTGCTGTTTCCAGCAGTGTTACGTTCATCTTAGCACTTTATCTGGAAGTGTTAAGTAGTAAGTAAAACATCCGACCCCAAGCCAAGCGGGGGGGGAGGAGGAAGGGAGGGTGAACCCTCACACCCATAAGGGGGCGCGTACTACCACTTCACCCACCGATGGCACCGTTCTACTGGCCACTCTTTCCTCGATATATTCCATTGCAGTTGTCAACAATCAACCTTCAACTGGTTTCGTCGGGGTAAGCACATGACGGTATTGAACCCTTGTTAAGCCGACAGCTATTAGCTTTGAGAAAGAGTGGTACCAGAGCGGTGGCATGGGTGGTGTAATGGCAGCACGGGTCTCCGGTTTGAGGTGGAACGAGGGTTCAATTCTAGTCTGAGGTCGTTTATTTTGTATGCATATCACTTAACATTTCCGGAAACGATTCAGTGTCTCCTTTTCCAAAAATAAAACTCAAAATTCGTTTGAAAAAACTTTCCCGAAAACTTAAAATCCAGTCTAAAAAATCCTGAAATTAACGTCACTATCATCAGCGAAAAACAGTTCCAGTTACTCAGAACGGGCGGCCGCCTCTTTTTCAATGGAAGGCCATCGCCCAAGTTGTGAGTGGTCGGTCTACCATGAAAATGTCCTGACTGAGAGGATCGGTTCGCTGACATCAGCCTCGTACAGTGACACTTTCGGGACCGTGCTTTCACGCCCTCCGCATCTCTAACCTCCCAGCGTGGCAAGGCTGGACGGTTTGCTCCGCCCCTCCTCTGCATCTCTAGCCCGCCACGGTGAGAATGTACTGAACGAATCATTGTCTTATTTCATCTATAGAATTTTTATTTTCGCACGTTATGCTATATGCAGATACATTACGTTGTGATAAGTAGGAAAATAACAACAATAATAACAATTTAAATAATAATAATAATACATTCAATGCATGCCACGCTGAGGGTTAGAGATGCAGAGGAGGTGGCCCACGGTTCCGAAAGATTAACTCGCTCGGAAACGGTGTGTACCTCCTCAAGTACACGATGATTTGAGGGCCTTTTTCGCTGGTCATAGCTTTTTCCGTAGACTTTCAGTAACCATTCAAAAGCTTCAATTCCGGTGATTTAAACGATCTGCTTCCTTTCGAAAAAAGTCTTCTCATTGCGCTGCAGCAGTAAAAATAAGAGTACTTGTCACACACTGCGCGCATTTTGTGTCCGCCTACGGTTTGTGGATGGCTTTTCCACCAGAGTTTTAGTATCCATTTGAAAGCTCAAATCTCGCTGATTCCAAGACTAACTTTTGTTTTTGAAAGTTCTCCATACAGTGCTGTAAAAACGTAAAGAAAATCCGTTTCAACCTGAAAGTTTTACGCTTGCTCAAGAGTTAGATAAGGATCAAATCATACGAACGTACAGAGAAAATCATAGAGTATCCAAATAAAACCAAAACCCTAGGCTGTTTCAGAACAGATATCAAAAAGAAAGATCTAGAAAAGATCTAGGAATAAGTGTGGGTAAGTCTGAATGAAATATCATAGAAGTAAAAAGAGCGATGTGCAAAATGGGCGTCAGTGGTCTAACGGATAAAGCACGCGTTTCCGGAAAGAGTGGGGTGCGGGTTCTAGTCCCGCCTGGCGCTCAAGTTTTGCACATCGCACTACATTAACGGGTATATGTTTGTAACATCATACCACCGCAAAAAAGCAGTTAAATAAAAACAATTTCATTTCATAGAAGTGTTCGACAAAGGCTCTAATTATGGCCTTTTCATAAATACTTGGTTTTTCCCCTTGAGAGTTTGGCATTAAGATGGAGCAATTACGTTATTTCTAACATAAATTACCTTATTGAAGTCTGTTCTATCACATTTATCCATTTACTGACACAAAACCCACATTTATTGGCGAAAAATTTATAAATTTCATTAGAAAACTACCACACTAGCACTAGCGCGCGCGCCGACAGCCTCTCTTCGTAGCCGTCCGAATCGGCCGCCAGCCGAAAATGGCGCCGTCCCCAAAGGGATATATAACTCCTTTCTAGGAGGGAACTCCGAATGTGAAACGCAGCTAATTTTCCGCTCAGATGATGCACTAATAAGCTTTTCGGGATCTAATTTGAGCTTCGAATTCGCCGAGATTTGGGCTACGGAATGAGCCTAGTGCAGTCCAACAAAAAGCGATCGCCATACTTTAGTTGGGCAAATTAGACAAGCAAGTAAAGTGTCGGAATCTCTGAGTTTCGAGCTTTCGAATCATTACTCGAGTTCTACATGAGAAGCTTAGTTCAGCGAGAAAAGATCTCTGGAAGTTTGAAGGTCAAAATGACCCCCATTGTCGGCAAAGGCTTAACAATAAACCCACCTTCCTCTCCCCGTGAAAACCCCTAAAGAAGGAAAACTACAAGACAAGGAAATCAGAGTCAATCGAAGGGTAAAATGACCCTCTTCGTCCGCAAAAGGTTGATATTAAACCCTGCCCTTGAAGATGAGGACCCTAAAGAAGTCAGGCTACAACACACGGAATTCAGAGCTAGTCAAAAATTCACAATGACCTTTACCGTCTACACAGGCTAAATAATAAACCCTGATTCCCCTTCCCGTGAAAACCCCAAAAAAGGAAAACTACAAGCTGAGGAATTCAGGGTCAATGAAAGGGTCAAGATGACGCTCATCGTCGGTGAGAAGTTAACATGAACCCTGCTCCCGAATGTGAGAACCCCCAAGGAAGGTAGACTACAAAACAAGGAATCCAGAGTCAGAGGGTCAAAATAACCCTCACCGTAGGCAAAGGGTTAACATTAACCCTGCCCTTAAAGGGAAACTATAGAACGAGAAAGAATTCAAAGAAAGACAATCGAGAGTTTATTAGAGCATACAAACAAAACTAATTTCCGGCCGACAGAGAATCTCAATTTATAGATTAACAAAAAAAAAAAAAAGAAAAAAAAAACGGATGGCACACTCGACGAAAGGGAAGCGCGTATTTGTTCAGAACGACACGCCAATGCACAACGGCTGCCAGGTTCGACGGAAGGTCGTTGCTGGAAAGTTTCATCATGGAAAAGTCTCGTCTCGCCGGTGCCATGTGGTCGTCCTCGTCCGTCGATAGAGCAAACATCCCTCGTCTTTGCCCGACGAAGACGGTTCGAACCCCTCCCGTTCAACCGATCGATTATCGATCGGCTCTGTTTGGGTGATCTCCACTTCGGTAGAGATCTCATGGATCGAGCTGGCTGGGCTCCTGGAGTCCCTGGCCATCCTCAGCTGTCGTACAGTTGATTGCCGTGCGATTTCTCCGACTTTCATCGGTCCTCATCGCCGGTTTATCAATATTTTTTTTATCGATTAGTTCGCAGGAGGTTCTTATCGAATTTTTTTACTACCTAATGAAGATTTCGGGCCGTAATAGTGCTTTATAGTTGCCAAAATTCATAGAAAAAGCGAAAATGTATAGATAACTTTGGTCGTTTGTGAGTTCAGTCTGTGTGTTCGTTGTAAATCGATCGATAACGGTCCTCAACTCTCTCCAAGTGACTAATCTTCACTTTCATACGCTCGAATCTCTCCTGTGCAAACAAGAATCTCTTCAATCAAACCTCTAACGATTGGCTCCACAAATTTTTGGGCTAGAACCCCCCCCACCCCCTCTCCTCCCTGAGAAGGGCTCGAAGTCTCTGAAAACATTTAGAGAAGGCTCGAAGAGCTCTGCCTAGTATCATCTGCCCCGTCACTTTGGAGGTGCAAGGGGGGGGGGGCGTCCATCCGTCACTCCTTTCGTGGAGGCCCATGAGACAGGCCGAGGGCCAGTGACAACGGACGATAATCCACTCGTGGAACCGGATTTCTGGTCTGAAACTATATGAATTCCATGAGAGTTCTCATCAGAATGGGAACCGCTAGCGCCCGAACAACAACTGGGGTTCTTCCGTGTTCTTCGCCAGCCCGCCATTACACCCAGCAAAAGTGACGATATGCTCGGGGCGATCGATAGGGCTGTTGTTTTTTGGGGCTTTATCGGACATTCACTAGGTAAGTACGCCCTCCCTAACCCTTGGTGATTGGCCTAGGTGATTGGGTAAGATGTCTTGAGTCTCTCTCAACTCCTAGTGGGAACATCCCTATTTGCCCGGTGCCGCATTGTTGTTCAGATTGACGGGGATATCTGGGGAAGTTTGGGGGCCTTCTCGTTACCTTCTCTATCGCTTTTATTCAGTCGTTATCACGTCGATGATGATGCCCAATGTGTTTATGATATTTTCAGAGAAGCCACGAGGCTGACTCGATCTAGTCATGCCGACTGAATCACTGACTCAGATAGCCAAAGTACTCCGAATCACTTCGGAGACATTCGACCAGGCGGTGGAAGCGGCGGCCGACGTACTCCTCCATGGCGGGATCGTGGCGCTTCCAACTGACACCCTCTATGGTGTCTCGACACTCGTAGATCATTCCGACAAACTTTACACGCTGAAGAGACGCCCGATAGGAAAGCCTCTTGGATTGTTCCTTGCCGATCCGGCCGAAATCAGTCACTGGGCTCGTCTGACGATCTCACCATCTCTGGCTCGTCAACTACTGCCAGGTCCAGTCACCTTAATTTTCAACCGATCACCATCACTCGCTTCTAATTTCAATCCTCAGGAAGAGACAGTTGGTGTGAGAGTACCTGACTCGCCTCTAGTTCGTGCTCTTTGTGCGTGTCTAGCTCAACCTCTTGCTCAAACGTCGGCAAACGTCAGTGGATCGCCGAAGAATCCGCGATGTGTTGAGGATTTTCCCGAACTACTGGATCAAATCGACTTAGTGCTCGATGGAGGAGTTATTGGACGATTGCAGGATGGCGAAAACACCACGAATACGGCGGAGGGAAGCACGGTTGTGGACCTGACTCGAGAGAACTTTTATCGAATCGTTCGCGATGGATGCGCTTTAAAACGAACGGAGGAGGTGCTCAGAGCAGCTGGAATACGGCCTCTCTAAGTGCTTTTTCTATGCATTAAACCGTTAGTCACCGAGGAGATCTACCTCACTTTAATAGCAGTATTATGATGTTATGGTAATATATCTACGGATGTTGAGCGATATGCAAAACCTCCGACACCAGGCGGGAGTTGAACTCGCGTTCTACTCACGCCGTGAGTGCGTTCTGCTACTACACTACCGAGGCCACCACCGCTTTGCTACCACTCTTAGCTCTGACATGAGGCATCGAAGCTGTCAGCAACCTGCCGCTAACGGGTTTGGTGCGGCAATCGCAAATAGACATTGAACTCTTTTGACCTCTCGCGACCGTGGACCCAACCCTCCGCGCCTCCAAACCTCAGCATGTTGCGCCTAACAGTGGCGTCTTACACTATCGTGCGATTGTTAGACCTAACACGCTGGGGGTTGGAAACGCAGAGGGTTGGGTCCGTGGTCCCAAGAGGGTTGAATAGGTTCAGTGCCGATGGGTGCTTATTGGACCAAACCCTTTAGCGGTTAATTGCTGATAACTTAGATGTCTTATATCGAAGCAAACAGTGGTAGCACAGCGGTGGTGGTCTCCGTGGTGTTGGGGCAACACGCGCTTATGTTTTAGGTGAAAATGGGTTCAACCTCCGACTGGGGTCGAACGTTCTGCATGAAGTTGATCCGGTTTTGTTTTTCAGATCATTCCGTTTGCTAGAGCTCTTATGTTTGTTAACACAGATAAATCTCAGTGACATGTTCCACTACCACTCATATCGAAGTCAATTTCTGCCCGATTTTTCCTCGTTTTCCAAATTGTTATGTGCCATCTCGTCAATTGTTGCATTTGTAAAGATATCTTGTGGATAAATAAACTATTTCTAGGACATGAAACGGAAAGCTGAGCCAGATGCCGAGGAGATGACGTCATCGAAAGGTCCCTCAACATCGAAGAAGCTTGCACCAGAGGCCGACAATGACTTTATAAATGAGACGGTTAGTGGAGAGACCTAATCTTCATCCTGTATACTTTCTTGTTCTTTTCCGGTACTCGAGAACAAATGAAAAACCAACCTCGCTGGCAAGAAATTTTCATATGGGTGTTAGCAATCATTCGAAAGCTCAGATCTCTGGCTAGAGCCCTAGGTGGACGGATTTTTCAAACATCTTTATATAAAAGGATAAAGGATAAAGCTCTAGGCGTTGATCAATCCCTGAGGTATGCGCCATGCATTCGATTTCACTTTCTAACTTCGTTTGAGGTGATTGAATGCACATCTGGCCTTTACAATGACTCGCGGTGGCCTCCCGCTGAACTGAGTCAGTGCTGCTTATCCTCCCAGACAAGTCTGAGACCTGTCTGGTACCAATTTACCGACCCCGGAGGGATGGATGGCTTGGTGAGCCATGAGCGCAAGATCGAACCATTGACCTCGTGTGCGACGCAGAGCACCTCTAACCACTGCGCCACATATATATATATATATATCTTTATATAACGCTGCAAAATTCAAAATAAAGTTATATTCACACGACCACATGTCTCTTATTCTTATCTCGCTTATAATTCGTTCTACAAAAGTCCTTTCTTGGAGTGCTAGTACTCTTTCGAAAGCACAAGTCTCTGAGATCTGAAAAATAATCGCAATATATTTATTTGACCGTTTCTTGCGCTGTCATGATCTTATAAT